GCTGTGGGTCAGAATGGACTCCATGCAGTGGGTGTGGTTTGGGCTTTGCTTCTGTGAAGATTGACAGCCATGGAGACCCTGTGGGCAGTTCCATTCTCTTCTCTAGGGGCGCTGTGGGTCAGAATCCATGCCACCTGGCAATGGATTTGTTTGGTTTTGGTGCAGGGCAGAAAAGGCTAACCATCTAAGAACAACTGTAGGTGCTGAGACACGTGGAGGTGGTGAAGTGCCTGGCTCTCATTTCTGTCTCTGCAGCTCCCGTTGCCTGGTATTCAGACCCACACACTGGCCGACCCTGGAGGGCCCCGGGTGGGTTAGGCGCCATGTATTCTCTACACAGATGAGCAATGGAGGTGGGTTTTGGCTTCTGGTCCTCCTTGTGTCTTGGTATCTGCAGGGCATATCAGGGGGAATCCTGGCCACCTTTTCCAGACAATCATGTGCTCATTTCAATAACACTGCAGTCTGAGGACCTGAGCTCTGGTGGCCTAGTAGGTAAAGCATTTGGCACTTCAAACCCACCAGCTGCTCCAAGAGAAGAATTTGAGCCACTCTACTTCTGTAAAGACTGACAGCCTTGGAAACCCAATGAGGGCCACTATGAGTCAGAATCACTTGATGGCAGTGGTCTTGGTTGGGTTTTGGAGGTCTGAGGTGGGCCCCCCTTCCGGCCAACTGTGTGCCCATTTTCCAAGCAGCCAAGTGAGTCCTGGGGAGGGCTGTCCATCTTGATGCCATTGGCTGGTCACTGGTAGAGCCATGGGAGGGGCAGGGCCTTGGGGATCTTCTGAATTCTTTCCTGGGCACCCCCAGAGGTCCCAGTGTCCATTTCCCACATAAGGAAACTGAACCCTGGGGTCTTGAACGAGGCCTGCCAAAGGTCAGAAGTCAAACATTTGCCGGCAGGGCGTCCACGCCTTCAAGGTCATTCTAACCGGAGTTTGAAGCTCCGAGCTCAGGACTCAATCACAGGTCACATCCAGCACAAAATGGCGTCCCACAGAAACTAGTGCCCACTCCTCAGGCAGCGAAGGAAGGGCACGGCGAGGGGGGCGGCGCCCGCAGCTCATATCTTATTTGCATACAACAAAAATCAATGTATCTTATTGGCTGGAAGTGGTTTGTCCCGTGCTAAGTCGGGCCCCATTGGTCCCCTTCCATACGTCTCCAGCCCCCCACCCCCACCC